CACTGTCAGCCACACCTCCCGTCTCGGATCTCGGATCCGTTTGGTTTGGGTGTTTTCGCCTGTTCCTGCACCCAGACGATTAAATTGATGACTTTAAAGACTCGGTCTAGCCGAACTGGCTTAGGCGAGTGTATAGGTTCCAGACTATTTTTGGCCCACCGGATATGAGAAGGGCAATATAAACTATAGGGAAGTAATTGGAATATATCCCGAAACCCATGTACTAAACGCGCTAGGTCTTAACCGCTCTCAACGTTGATTTAACCAAAATGCCAGCCATGAAAATGTTGAAGCATTTCCTGTTATTTATCAAATAAACTAATTTCAACTACCAATTAAAAAAAGGAATTTGTAGTTTCAAATATGATAACTGCAGCACTTGAAAAGTTGTATTCCTTTCAATCTACAAAACCTTTATTATTACTAAAAAAAATAAGAAAAAAAAAAAAATTCATGAGCTATGAGTTGGTCGTTTAAAAGTTTCAAGGATTATTTATAGACGCTTTCATGTTTTCCTATTATTCAGCCAAAGCCTTTTTCTTTATATCCTTAGATTTTAGAAAAAATGCGAACAAAAATGCCGAATCATGCACCATTCGGTGACCATTCCAGCGCCCGGTCTGCCGGAGTTGGCTGCAGGAGATGGAGGAACAAAAAGTGGTAGGCGAATGCATTCATTAATAATTTATCATGCCGCACAAGCCCCAACTAAACCGAGGACAACGTACACACGCCCATGAGGGGGCTGGGAGGACAATGTAAGCAAACCGCTGCACCCGTAAAGGACGTCACAGGCAAGGAGCGTCTAGGGAAACTCGGGGTGTGGGGCGATATCATTACGTAAACGTAAAACTTCCGCCTTAGAAATTCAATTAAACTAATAAATTTTCCATTATCCTTATCGATGGCAACGAACCGCACGGAGCCGAGCTTGAAGAGTGGAGGCTGCATTGATTGTCTGTGCCCGGGATGCAGCCGGCCAGGGGCTGAGGTGGACTTGACAGAGAATTTAAATTCGTCCAAAGCAAACACAAACAAGTGGAGGAGGGCCCAGAAGGACCAGCACATGTGCAAAAATAGCAGCAGGGATAACAAAAAGCAACAATTTGCATAAATTAAAACTTAAAATAAAGCGGCAGGGAGCGCTTGTCACAGTGGGCTGGTAGTCGATAAATGGGGTAATAACGGCTGTGATTCCCCGGGCTAATCATGGACCAAGATCGTTGTTTACCGCATTATGGAATCTTATGCAAATACCACTGAGAGTGCACTTGCCCTTGGCTTTCAATATTATTTATTTAAGCCAGCATTTAAAATGGTTTCATTGGCAATAAACTATAAATGTATCAGAAAATATAATTTGTATTAACATTTCATATGCATATTAAATACAGGCCCATCAAAAAGATAAATTTTAAAACTAAATTTATTTGATTGAGAAAGGCATAGCTAGATCTGTAATATAAATTTATCTTCAATATTAAGAATCCTGAATAGGTCTTATTTCTAAGAAAACGTCTGACTTCTTTTTTGCTCTTACATACATAGAGGTTTATGTATGAGAGACCTTGTACTCGTTTCGGAGGAAAAGGAGTCACGCCTTACATGTCCGTTTAAATTTAAAGCACATTTAAGGACAAAAAATTTGCATTTTGCATGACCTCCTTGGAACAAGTGACTGGGGACGGAGTTTGGCTACTCAGAGTAAATACCACAACCAAACCCTAAAATCACAAGAGGATAGTCTGATTTTTCACTGGATACCCGCTAGGAAAGTACCCCACAGTAACATTGGACAAAGTGGATGTTATATTTTCAATAATACTAGCAGGTCGAGGTTTTCTTTTGTGTAAACAACTTAGTAAAGTAGCCCAATTTAAAATATTGGAAATATTCTTTATCAATACTAAAACCGTACTAATTTGTTAAAATTTATATAAAAAAAAAACCTCTTGTAACTATAGTTTCTTAAAAAAACGATAAGATATTCAAAATTATTCACACAAAAGACCGAATAATTTCCCCATGAATGCATTATTTTCTTATTTATTCTTACACAACACTTGAACCAGATCGAGAGGTTCTGTAAGCGTTAATTTTATTATGGAATTTCATTAATTTAGAAATGCTAAGTAATTAGGGTAGCAAGCATTTTTTAATTAAGAAACACTTTCACGGCCAACTTCTTGAGAGCTTACTTTACTCTTGGAGGCCGGCTAATGGTTCACTGACATCGACTAGACACGGAAAGTTGGAAGGACCTCGGACTCCCAGGACTCCCAGGACCCCCAGGATACCCGGGAGTAGCTCAGACTTGGAGGTCGAGAGAATCGAGGGGGCCTGCAAGAACCCTTGACTGCCCACTTTTATTTACATGTACTGCTGTTATTTTGTATTTAATTTATTTTGCAACGTTTCACGTCGTCGGAGGGCGTTTCAACTGGCCCTACCCTTGGCTTTGCCTTGGTTTATTGATTTTCAGGTCTGGGATTTTACGGACCGAGAAGACGTGGCTTAAAATTTTCCTAGGCCAGTTGTTATACACACCAAGTGAGGAAAACATTATACTATTGAAAATAATACGTATTATTGAATAAATCTCTATTCGCTTTATTTTAAATTCGTGGCACCACAAGTGACGAATAGTCTTCTTCCTTGATGATTACTTGCCAAATAAGGAAAAGAGACATTTGCATAAATACACATGTTTGTCTGAGCTGGTGCCACCGTTTTTGCACTTGAGAGAGTCAACTTCCTCTCAGAAATGTTTGAAATCAGCAAACAAGACTTAATTAAAACATCACGTAATCGCCATTGCAATCGCGATCGTCGTTGTCGTCGTCGTCATCGGATTTAGATTCAGACTCAGATTCTGAATCGGAGCCCCGGGGGGCGCCAATGTCAGATGGACGCCGGGGCCTGACATGTCCACGTACGCATGTGGTTTCCCTCTGGACAGGCCCAAGTCATGTGGTTATGAATTCAAATTGCTTCAATAGAAACCCGGCTGATTCAGCCGGCGGTGCTGTGCTGAATTTAAATAAAGAACAGTATTTGTTGCAAGTAAGCGTTCAAATCGAAACTATTGGGGTCCATAGGAGTTAATGACAAATTGCGCATCGACGAGCGGGTGAACTGAGTGACTCACTGTGAACCTGACATCTTATCATCGGTGCCATAAATAAGGCCAAGGGCCGACCACATTCGCCAAGCGCATCTGGCATTCGGGGCTCCGTTCCCGACAAAGGCACGCCGTAATTCTTTGTTGCAGTCTCAATAAATTCCATTTTACATTCGCCACTGCAACCAGGCACCCTGGTTTTGGACAATCCCAACGGGTTCGCCTGTCCCTCCCGAAATATTCTTAATGACTTGTTTGTGTGCTGGATTAAATATAAGTTATATTTTTTTGTTGCCCGGGCTTCCGCGGGGAGGGTCGATGGAACCAGTTTCGATTTGGAAGTGAGTAAACCGTATTCCAGTAAACTTGCATGGCCTTTTCAGTTGCATTCTCTAGCGATATTCAAGCAAGTCTGGCGTGCGTTCATATTGCCATTCCGAGGCAAGGCAGCCTTGGACTGCGTCCCTTGGCGGAATAATCGAATCTGGGTCAAAGTGCTTGATTGAAAGTAAATGAAGAGGGAGCAGCCAGAATTAAGTCAAATCATATTTCTTTTGAGCGGTTCTACAACGTTTTAATTAGTCGTCTCCGCCCGGGCGCTTTGACATAAGAGGGCAAAATAATTGGCTCTATGCGAAGACTCTCGATTGGATTTCATTGTGCGGCAAATGCTTCGGACGGCCAGTAAGTAAGCCCATCCAGAGCAGACTCTGCATGTCGTTTGGATCAATCAATCAGGGGATTTGGGTTAGCCAAGCTCTGGCCCAGAAATATGCCCCACATAAATCAACGGAGGCCTGCAAAAAGATTGCTCATAAAATATATGGCAAAGCCCGAATTAATTTGCAATGAAAATGTGCGAAAAGATGCAAAGTGCCGGAATTCACAGTAAAAAATTGACCAGAGCATAAGTTTAACGGTGCGGCTACGAAAAATGTTGTCAAATAAATAAAAATACGAAGCACGCAGGACCGAAACCCAAAACAGTCGGGCCTTTTGGGGTCTGAGACACACATGGGGGTGTGGGTTTTTCACCTCCCCGGCCTTAGACGTCGTCAACAGTAAACTGAGGAAAATGGCTGCTGGCTGCCAGTGGAAGGCGGAGGTGCGGTGGCAAGGAGCTGAACTTGAAAGCTGGCAGGGGATCAATATTTTATACAAAGTTCGAAAAAATCTCTTCCGAGCATGTTTATGAAAATGCAACCGGAAATCGAATGTCTGTCAGGGAGCAATTCTATGCTGCAGACACACGAGAGAGGCAGCCAGATAGGGCAGGGCTGACTGGTACCTTCCTCATTCCTATGTAAATTATGCAAATAAGTCAACACTAGGCGGGAGAATGTGTGTGAAGCTTTCTAAAATACTCCCTGGTGGACTCTAAATGAATCATATGGCAAAAGACATTTGAGAACATCATGCTTTTAGAGCAGCATCTCCCTTCGGCCCTTCTTCCGCCAGCCAATATTACGTATACGCAACGTAAGTCCAGACTCTCGGAATCCATATTGGAGAAAGTTTTGCGGCAGGGCCTGGAGAATTGTCAATTTCAGCTGCCGAATCCGACTTCTTCCGGACTCTAGTTCGGGTCTTTGCGCCTTGGCAGATGATTTTGCCGGATTTGCCTTGGAAGAAACGTTTGTCTTTCGGTTGGAGTTTAGTCAAGGAACTTTACGGCGCTTAAAGTTGTGATTCGGGCGGGAGTGTTGGGACTCACCTGCCAGGGCAGAGATAAAAAGGGGCTCGAATCCGGGCCAGAGCATGCGATAACTCAATCCAAGCCTGCCCACCTTCTAATCCCTGGACATAGGCCGACTTACATCGGGCTTAATTAACGACATAGGCGTCCTGCGGTGGAGGACTTGGCTCGACCGGAGAGAAACTTGAGCGCATAAATTAAAGCCTGAGCTGAAACTTAGGAATGCTAATGATGTCCTCCGGCCAGCCACCCCTCTTCGCCGCGTCCTACACCGGATAATAATGCTTTGCATATAATCAAGCAGCCCATGCATGACCTTCCACATTCTGGGATTCCGCTTTTCAAGTTGGATCTCCTTGGGCGGCTCACCGTGCTAATCCAACAACTTGACTGTCATTACCCCAGCATACGGACAGGGGAGCAGGAAGCCCAGAAAGCGGGGATCACTGGGAGAAGGAGGCAGAAAAAACGTTCATTTGCTCAATCGTGCACTCGAAAATGTCAATTTACATTTGCGAACTGGGTGGCGACGCACTTCCAGCAGCGGCCAACCCGGGGGCCAAGCTGGAGTCGGGGCCATCCGGACCAGCTTAAGTTGACTTTAACGCCTCAATGCATCCAACTAGAAGAGCCCGACCAAGTCGAAGGGAATCATTTCACATAAGAGAAAGTTTTTGTGTGTGTGCAACAGTGAAAAAAGGAAAACTTTTTATTAAAGTCAGCACAAATAGCTTGGACCCGTTTGGGCTTTGGGCTTGGATTTCTTCCCAGTCCAGCTCCGCCTCGCTCCCCTCACTTTGATTGAATCCCTCCACTCACGGCCTCCCACTCACGAATGTGCTTGACAATGTGGGCGTGGCCCTGGACTCCGTCTGTTGCTCTGGTCAAGTTAATTTGTATGTGTGGCCGTAAACTTTTGCAGCTTAGAGTTTCCAACACGCCTCGATGGTTGGAGGGCTGGTAAGATGATGGGCTGGAGGAATGGGGATGGATGGACGGATGAATGGATGGATGTTGCCGAAACGGACAAGTGGGTTCGGGCCGTCTCCCCTGATATCTCAAATGCCCAGTTCTGACTCCGTCCACAATGTGTGAATTTTGTTAGCTTATTGCTTTTCTATGCCGCATAATTGCTGACTTCTTTCCCACATTCGCACACATCATTGCACTGCTCCGGAAGGGACTTCGGCAGGGCCCGGGCGGGTGTGTTTGCGACGTTTTGTCCTTAAGTAAGGCGCATAAATCATCGGGGGCTGTGGCGGAGTCCCGAAATTTATGCTTGGTTGCATTTCTGAAGCTCTGTGGGGACGGAGGACCGAGGTCCGAGTGTTTGGCCAATGGGCAGGAGAGATAAGGAATGGCAGGGTGCGCGCAGCCGACCCAACCGAATCAAAAGAAAAGCTCCCGGAATCTCTGAAGGGTGCCTTCGAGATCAGAGGTGTGGGGAGGAGTCTCCAATAAACACAACAGTCGTGCTTCCGCCAGTTACACAAAGTGTTCTATGAATAGTTTCGCCCATCGTTTGGGGTAGCTAGGCAACTTCACTGAAATGGGCGCTAAGGCAACCACCGGTTGTTAGGTAAAACAAATTCGCTCCCAGCCCCAAAAGGCTGTTTCTGCAACGCGATAAAATTTAGTTTTCTCGAAGGTTTTCCAGATTGCATATCCGAGATCAATTCGCTCCAAAATGCCCTGCTTCTCTGCCTCGAACGTCCGGTTTGTCAGCGCCGACTCGCAGTTGCAGCAGAAGTGCCAAGAGCTAAGGGCCCGGGCACGAGCTCAGACGGCGGCCTATCGGCCTCCAGCGGGCGGCTTCCGGCCCTCCACCTCAGCCCCCTTGGGCTTTGCCTCCTTCAAGAGGACGACCTGCGACCAATCTGCGGCCTACGACCAAAAACAGCTGAAGCGCAATGAGCGGGAGCGGAAGCGCAACCAGGGAACCAAGCACCTAGTCCTCCGGGCCAATGAGCTACGCCGACTGAAGGACCAAGGTAAGGTGCCCACAGTGAGCGACAGGCTGCAGGAAATCGATCGTCAGGAAGAAAAGCACCGCCAGCAGCTGCAGCTGGTGGAGGAGACGCGCAGACGCTTCAAAGCCATCGACGAGGCGCGGGGACCGGCGCCCGGCGATGCCGAAGGAACCAGCTCTGAGTTGGCTGAACTACTGGAGGAAAAGGGGTCGGTGCTGAGCCGAGCATTCCTGGCCCGGCAGGAACAGGAAGAGGAGGTCAAGCAGATAAACCGCATGATTCTCGACGCCAAGTGCAAGGCTGTACGGGAAGCGCAGATCCAGGAGAAGCACATGCTGGCTAAGGCACTGCGGGAAGACGACGAGCGTCTGGCGCGCATGGTCAATCAGAGGGCCAAGCAGGCTCTGACCGCCGAGGACGAGCGGGAGCGGCTGGAGGCGGAGAAACGTAACCGGTACGCTAACGAGATCCGCCAGCAGCTAAGTGAGCGCGAAAACCGGCGTTACCTTGAGGCCAAGCGGGTTGCTGACGAGGCCAAGGACATCCGCCGTGCCACAGAGCTTCTGCGAGAGCAAGAAGAGCAGCAGCGCGCTTTTGCCCAGCTGCGCAAGCAGCGCTTTCGTGAGGAACTCCAGCGCATCCGGAACATGTCCAACGTGTTCAAGACTATGCTCAGCGAGCAGGAGCGACTGGCCGAGCTGCGCGTCACAGCCTACATGCGCGAGAAGCAGGAGAAAGAGCGCCAGCTCAAGGAAATGCAGCGCCTGGCGAAGAAGGAGTTCGAGCGGCGCCAGCAGCGGATCTTCACAGTGGCCGCGGAGGCCATGGAGACGCGGCAGGCCAACGATGAGCTGAAATATCTGAAGGACCGTGACCGGGTGGAGCGCGAGTATCGGCGGCGCGAAAAGGAGGCGGCTATTGCGAAGCGCGAGGTGGAGCAGGACCTGCTTGAGTCACGGGCTCAGCAGGCCCAGGAGATGAAGCAGCGCCTGGCCTTGGAGATCGCCCACGCAGAGGAGGAGTTCGCCAAGGTGATGGACCGCATGCGCGAGGAGGAGGAAAAGCAAAAGGCCATGGACCGACAACGCGACTCCCAGCGCCAGATCTACCGACAGGACCTGCGCCAGCAGATAAACGACAAGCAGGCTGAGCGCCGCCGACTCAGCGAGTTGGAGGCAGAGCGGGTCCAGAAGTGGCTTGACCAGGAGAAGCAGCGCGACTCCAACATTCGCCAGGTTATTGGCGCCAAGATTGCCGCCATGCGAGAGAACTGCCTGCCGGAGAAGTATCTGCGGGAGGTGGAGAAGCAGCTGAAGGGCATCCAGGGAGCCCGCAACCGCATTCGTTGATGGTTTTCATTACAACCAATTAGTCTCTGGAATTATCCTTTACGCACTGAATTTTTTAAAGAAATAGGATAAAAAAGTAAACAAAAAAACACATGTATTTTTCTTATTTAAAGAACCTGACTTCCGTTTGGTTTGAATAGTTAATGCAGAAAATAAACTTTCTCAAAGCATCTTACTCAATTTCAAGTTTTATTATTGATTTTCCTTGGATTCGTTTCCATAGACTCGTACACATAATTTCGGCTTTCAGGCTCTACAAATCAATTAAACAGTTGTTCACCCAAAAGTCTGTCTTAGTTTTGATTCGCAGAAATTTCCTGGCAGCCGCAAAGTATGCCAAGGAATTGGGAGAAGTACCTAACGGGCGAGAGAAATCAAAGAACCGTCATAATGACTAGGCGACATTGTTGCGCTCGCGGTAAAAAGGCCACCCATGTTCCTCGCTAATTTCCAACTATGTGGGCGGCTGGCATCCGCCGCCCCCACACGGCCCACTTTCCCCGCGGGCGCGCAAACGGGAGTGCGGGCGACGCACACCACAAACAATTACTGGTGGAGGGTGGAGGGGAAAACTACGGCCTCCGAGCCAGGGAAAAAGTGGTAGCCAACTTTTGGCTACAATAAAATTTTATTATGCCACACACATTCCCGGCGCACACAGGCAAACAATGGAGCTGACGAAGTTGATGCTGAAGCTGAAGACGCTACCAACAACGACGAAGTCTTGTGCATGGTTCAATTATCGTATTTCATGATTCGTTAAATTTTCGCATACGCCAAAAAATACGAAAGACATGCCCCACCACCCATTCCTTCTTTGGGCCCAGCCCCAGCATCCAGCCTCTCAGCAATCTGCGGGCAAAGAAAAGCCAGGGCGGGGAACTGGTTTTCCCTGCCAACCATTGTGACGTCTACCTAGGGAGCCAGGGGAGAGCCGACGGGACACCCGTTGCTGCCACTCGCATAAGGCTGTAATAATTCCAATAACAATAAACGTTGTCGTATTTACAAGTAGCACACACGCGCACTCACTCTGACATGAATTGATGAGAAAAGTTTTTGAGGAAATGTCAATAGAGAAGCGGAGACAAACTACGTTCACATGTGCGAGGGAGTCTGCCACAGTGGGACAGAGGGACAGTGGGACAGGGGAGCATTGGAACAGTGGATCAGACACCTGTCACCTAGGCAGCCTACAGGACATGTAAAAGCACAAATGATAGGGGCATAGATTTTATTCTCAAATAAATATTTCAACATAAAAAGGCCATTTAGCTAAAATATTTAAATTTTTTAGAAAGAGATATTTTCACATTAAAAATACAATTTTAGCTTCTTCAATTTAAATTTTTGTAAACAACAGGTATAGGGTAAAGTATAAATTAAATATAAAACCGATTAATGTTGTATCTGTCTATAAAACTTATATCCTTAGCCTATCTTAAACATACTGTTTTAGTTATACTACTATACTGCTATGCAAAAAATACACAATTATTTTATTAATTAGATCAAAGAGAGGATGTTAATTAGATCCTCAAATAAAAAAAATATTTCATTTGCCTACTACTTGCCTACTAGACTAATCGTCTACTTGGAAATATCTGTAACAGGGCTTGTAACGTAGCCCACTGTGCCTGCGCAGCATCTTTGGCATTTATAAATTTCGTGCTATGGAAAAGGTAAAAAGCCAAAAAATATCTTATAATTGAAAAAAGTAAGACGCAGATACCTTACAGAGCACTGCATTCCGCCCCAGCCCTCCCACCTGCCCGGCCCCATCGAGACGTATCTGCAAGATTGCACACAATTGTTTTGTATTAGCAAAGTGATTTCTTCTCTCGCTTCGCTTCAGTTCGGTTGGATTGTTCCTTGGGCTGCGTTCGGGGGCCGGTCGGCATCTTCGATATGTGTACTTAAAAATAAATTGCGGGCTTTAGTTTTGCGTTTTATTTCAATGGCTTTTCTTTTGTAGTTGCGGTCTGGTTTATCTGCCGCTGCCGATGCCGCAAGCCACCTCCCTCCCCCATTTCACGAGAATTCCAGATTCCAGACGAATTGTCTGAGTGGATATCGTATTTGTATCTGCTCTCGCACATTTGTATCCTCGGCATATCTAGGTGACTGGGTAATGGGACTCAATTGGGCCCTAAACTCTAGGCATCAATCGCGTCCTCATTTGCATATAAATACTTATGGCGCTGCAGGGCTGGGTCGGACCGAAAAATTGAAAATCAATATAATTGAGGAAGTCGCTTGATTGCTCTGCAGGAAACTTCCATCTGCGAATCGGATTTCTGGAGGCCACTGACAGACATGCGTTGACAGATTGAGCGCAAAAATAGGGGCTTAAAAATAGACTAATTTGGGTACAATTAGAAGGGGCAAATCAATAACGTTTGATGGGCAACATCTACCTAATGAAATAATGTGCTAAACCAGTTTTGACTTGATGAGGATGATCAAGAACGTAAAGTGTTGGCAGGCTCAGACACGATTTATCAGGCATCCTATAGTGCGGAATGAAGCTGTCGCTGGGTCCGTATGATTGATGGCCTTGGGCAGTCTTGTCCGCTTAAATAGAGCCACCAGTGCACGCACCTCCCAAAGGTGTACAGAAATTAAACCGGCGCCAATACCTCGCAGTGCCCGTCTTATCAATTAAGCTGTTCGAATCTTCGAGGAGTGTGGAACCATTTCTGCGATTATGAAATTTATAGCCGCGATTAGATACGGCCACGCTTGAGACACTCACAATTAGTCAATCCAAGGAATGTTTGTTCTGTTTTCTGCGACCAGGAATGCGTTAAAGGGGTATTATGACTGCCATTACACACTTATTTATCTGCCTATCTATCAGATAGGCGTTCCCTTATCAGGCCTTTGTTTATGTATTAAGGTTTCTATAAACTCGATAAGTTCCACGTTCCTGGAAATGTGGGCGTGGGCAGAGGGAGGTATGGTGCTACGCCGAGCCGCAAAACTTGAAAAAATTCCACCTTTTAAATCACTTGGACAACAAATATTTATTAAGCAAACACTTGGATTAAGCCTCAAAATCTGTCGGTAACCAAACATTATTAACATAAAACCAATAATAATAATAGACACGACTTAATTGATTTGTTCATAAATCTCGCGCCTCGCACGAATCCTCCACGAATGTGCGTTCCAGCTTGGCTGTACACAATCCCCTATCGGCCAGCCACTGAAAGCTGAGCAGCCGCGGGACGGCCGACAGGCGGACAGTCAGACGGCAGTCCAGTTGGCAGTCGGCATCGTTGCTAAGAGATTGTCGCAGCTGATTGGGACAGCGCTTCACGTTGGCGAGCTGCCCACTTCAAAAGCATGCGACGTGACAGCGCCATTGTTTACAAACAAAAAGCGAGGGACAGCGGGTAGCGGGTGGTTACCAGTGGGCGGTGGGCGGCGGTGGTGCAAATGGATACCAGTAGCGATACCGCTTAGATACAGCGCCTGGTGGTCCTCCTGTGTGCCTCCAAAAACGCTTTCCGAAGACGGATTCCATGATTAGCCCACTGTTTCGGCGTCCAAGCGATCCAACTCAGCCGCGGACGTTGCACAACTTCTCGCATTACATTTCGTAAATCGGCCCGGGAGGGGAGGGGTGACCAGTACCAGGTAGGGAATTTGCCTCACGCTTATCTCATTTTTCAGTTTGCTTCGATTTCTAAATGGAAAAATAGTCGAAATAGCAGCCGGCAGGCCGATAAGCCTCTCAGTCGATCCCGCCTGAGCCATTATTCCAGCTGTCTCACACGACGTGGGAGAGATCGCTCTGGGAAGGTGGCCGGGAAGCGGGCGGTTTGTACATGTCGACGTCGTCGTCGTCCTCATCCCCATCACAAGAGTCCCGGGAGTCGTGGCAGTCGTGGGAATGGTCAGACTCGTTGGAGTCCTCCGGGTCCGAGTCCCGGCTATGCAGATCATCCAGAGGAGTGCTGGTTGTCATCGAGGCGGCGTTTGCTCCCAGGAAGTGCACCTTGGCGCCAGCGTTCTTGTCCGCCATTAGTTGGTGGTGGTGGTGGTGAAGGTGGTGGCTGTAGCCGAGGGCCGACTGCCTTGGGCGGTGCCGGCGGCGAAGCAGGTCGCCCACGTAAACGGCCGTGATGGTGGCGTAAGCTAGACCCAGCAGGGCGCCAGCCAAGACGTCGCTCCAATGGTGCCAGTAGTCGGCTACCCGGCTGAGGGACACGCATAGCGCTACCATCAAAAGCACGAACTGGAGCAGGTGGCGAAGCACTCGCACTCCACCACGGCCGCGCCATGCCCCGTCCACATACAGGGCCAGCAGGAACATCGAGTAAAAGCTGAGGCTGCTGTGGGCGCTGGGGAAGCTGACGTGCAGCTCCCGGATCTGGAGAGCGGAGAGGTCGCGGTTGGAGCAGTGGAACTGCTCCACGTACAGGTCCGCGTTTTGTACGTCCGCGCAGCTGCTGCCGTCATCCAGGCGCGGTTGGCAGGCGTGGAAGAAGTGGGGCCGTAGTCGCCCCACAGCATGCTTGGCTAGCTCCGTGGTCAGGTAGGTTGCGATGAAGCCGAAGCTGAAGGTAGCCTCGGCGCGCCACAGGTTGCGCAGGTATAGCCGTGTGCGGAACCGCTTGCAGATGCGCATGATCTCCGCCACGGCCAGGAACAGCATCGGCAGCAGGAGCATCATCAGCAGCAGCATTGGCACCGTGATGGTGCACTCCCGATACGGGTAACGTATACTCAGGTCCGAGCAGAAGAATCCGCGCTTGAAGGTGTTCATCTTGGGCTGGCCGTTATCGGGGTTCACTCACTTGCCCCTTAGGTCTCCGGTTCCGAGTTTCCGACTCGGCGGATATCAGTCAAGTTTTACGCCCCGTTCTCGCCCATTCACAATTATTTATTTTCGGCTCTGTTCACAAATTGCGCACTTACTCGTTCGTCGAGATTTTGATAAAGGCACATTCCGCTCTCAACAGCACATGGTCTGGCCACCTTTGGCTTTTCTTTTATTTTGTCCCGGATTTAATATTCGCGAAGAGATTACCCGGGCAAGGATGTGTTCTTGCCGTCCGAGCGCTCGACCCTTGCCAAATTTCCGAAACCCTGCGAGACTTGCCAATCGCGAGCCGCGAACAACGAACGAACCGCTACGATCGCACTCCGTTCGATGTCTATGAGCCGCTCTGGGCCGCGCTGACGTTTTGTTTGAATCGCGACGAATGTGACTCGTTGGTGACGGTGCCTGCTTCGACGGGGCTGCACTTCGGTGATCGAAACGATTACCAGTAGTGCGCTGCAGGGGCAAGACACTGCAGTCTTTTGCCTCTTGGGCGGTGGTAGTGTTGGTGGTGCCAGTGCTACGGTCTACGGTCTTCAGATCGAATCTAAACAGACACAGCAACTAAAAAGAGCTGGGCCTCAGCGCTGAAGGTTCCCAGCACTGTGTAAATTTCGCATTGATATTGGATTTCAATGGTGCTTGTACTCCTTATCACGACCGCGCTCTTCTTAGCTCAGTCGTACGTACACTCGGAAAAAGTTCACAACGTCTTATCTAATAAAGATTTTTTTTTAATTTTTAAATTGATCATTCATGAGCTAGTAGTTACCAATAAAAAAAATACTCAACGCATAGCAAACTTTTGGGCAAAATATAATAACTCTCAATATATCCCTACAAACCCTCCCGAATTAAGTTATGAACATTTATGAATAGTAAACCTAGCAAACTAACAATAGACAGTTTTATAGAAAGCCTTACATTAAATATTAGATAATAAAAGATTGTTTGTTATAACTTACAACAAATCATCAATGATTGAATTATTTTCTAGACAGAGCTAAATATTGTATAGAACCGGTACGGGATTCCGCTTTGGACCATGCATTTTTATATTCTGATACTTTAAAGTCAGTATGCCGTATTTGCGTAGGACTTGCCGGCGAATATGTCTCTGACGACTAGACAGTGTTAATTTAGAACGCATTCACTTAAAAATGTAACTTAATCGCTGACACTAAAAAAAAAGAATTTATTTGTCGAAGACAAAAATTTGCCCAAAAATTCCTTTTTAGAAATCCACCTTTTTATCCACTTACTGGGACAAATACTAGGAAACATTATTGGGAAAAGGCATATCCCTCTCATGTACAAAAAGTCGATAGCCTTTGCAACATAAATCAATTTGCGTGTAAGGTACAGTGGACATCCTTTCGGCGCACCCCCTTTGTTTGCCGGCGCAGCACGAACGTTGCTAATGAGGAAACTATTGAATTGTTTCAAGGTTTGCTTTGCTCAGTTTGTTTAGGCTTGTTTGCTTGCGAGCTGGCATTTGCGCATAATGAAAGAGTGGCTTTCGAGTCCCTCGGATGCATTTACCAGGCAGAGGGTCGACGACGGAGGGGACCAGAGGACTGAGGAGCTCCACCAAACGCCTGCGGTCGCCTTTGGAGTAGGTCATTGCAACGTGACTCAAGACGGTTTCTGTTTTGTGGCATTTGCGTTGATGTAGGTCGTTGCTCGGGCCCAGCCTCATGCGGCAGTTTCCGTGGCAATGGAGGCGACTGCCACACTGGGCGGACTCCAATCTGGAGTCCGAGCCGAAGTCGGACCTGGGCTGCAGTGCATAAAGTGGAGCTAGTTTATGGCCACTTTGTATTTGCACTTCGAATCTGGCTTCTTTATGGAGACTTCCAACTGCTCGATTTATATTGAAATTGCTTTGCTAGCAACTATTTGCTGTTAATTTATGCTAATTTCGTAGTTGTACTGCAAGGAAATTGCTCCAAATCAGCTGGACAATGCAAAATACACCAGTGGTATGAAAATAGCGGTGCAATCATTCCGCAATTGGTGCTTTTTGGTATTGTTTTTGAGTTATTTTAAAAGATTTGAGGTTTTTAGAGATTCAACTCTAAAATAGTTGGAATATAAATATATGAATCTAAGAAAATTGAGTCCAATATGTGGTTTAAATCTAGTTGATGTTAAGATCTATAGTAGCATGTGTTACAGGGCGCACTCGCATTTCAACCTTATGTACCGATATGGGTAAGTCTTTACCAGATTTGTGCAAAGCTCTCAGAACAGTAACCGATACGCCCCTTGAACATCTCGGTCCGAATTCGTATCGAAAACAACCGCAGCACGCGCCAAAAACGGGTATTTATGATCGTCGTCGAGTGATCATTATCGTTATGACCACCATGTGGGAAGGCTGCTCGTAAGGTTTCTGGTTTTATTTGTCGGTGGCTTTACTAACTTCCAGTACAAATTTTTTATTGGCATAATTCATTAAACACGTGGATCCAGCGGATGTCCATGGATTGCACAACCGCATCCATTTGCATACGGGAACCCATTTATACGCCTTGTACTACTAGGCCCCGGACCCCCGGGCTCTGTCCGTGGGGGACAAAAATTTCTGACTCGGCAAGTCTCTGGCTTTGCGAACCTAAGAAGTACTTCCTGTGCAGACGAACCGTCAAACTGCTGAGACAAAAGATTCCAAAGTGCTTTACTTGTTACTTTGCTTTTGCTGATCTCGATCCCCGCTTGCCTCTCCCAGCTCCCTGCCAGGGGCAGGCTGATAAGGCAAGGTGTATACAACAATTAACCAGGTGGGGCGGGGGCTGATAGCGCTTCCGACGAGATAGCGACGCGGCTGCAATTGCGACGCAGTATGTAAAGGAGGAACTACTGGCGATCCGATTCGGTGACGATCCCAGTTCCAAAGTTTTTCAAGTGTTTCCCTGGGGAAGCAGTTGCCATTGACAGTGCAGATTAGCGGGGGATCTGTTGGCAATATTCAATATTCTGTTGCTGGCATTCCTCAATGGCGACACCCTCTGGTCGCTTCGCGATGGCCGACTGGGATACCCCCACAATCAGGTACACGGAATAAGGGGCGTGAGCGATTGGATCCTACTGCCCTTAGATAACTTGGATGGTGGCAGGGTTAATAACCAGTGCAGGCCATTTACGAGGGGTATTAGTGCAAAGCTTTCAAAGGTCTTTGGAACTATCAACGATGCGAGATCCACGAATTGCGCAATTAAACTCTGACTTGACTTGACTTGAATTGACTTGAATTGGTTTTAATTTCTTGCACGTGCAATGCACCCAAATCCATAAAACTTTAAACACCCACTTACAGGGGCCTAGGGGCCACTAACATTGCAAAGACGCCGAGGTTTCTATACCGTTGCAATAACCGTCGTACTGGAAACCAGGTATACACATTCTTGGAAAAATTTAAAATAATAGGGAAACAATATCTTAAACATATCGAAGGGAACTAATATTAAAAAATATAAACATTATAATGTAAACATTTATAAGATAATTCATTAGGATTGGTTGGACAGGTGTTTTGATTTAAGTAGTTAAAATGTAAGACTCATATTATTTTAAATTGGGACTATTTCTGGAAGCAATATCTGAAAAATCCGTGAAACTCAATTAGGATTTTCAAAAAAATGTATTTTTGTTTCTAAGATTATATATTCAATTCATAACAAAATGTCACATTTAATTTGGAACAAGAACATTCTTCATGTTTCTTAAAAAAAAAACGTGATTGTTTATTTTTCTGTCAGTTTTAATTTTTCTTTTCATGTCGAATTGCTACAAAGTATGTTATTCTCAAAAAAGTGTTTGGGAAGTCGGTGATCCCTATTTATCGAAAATGAATTAACTGGTCGGATTAACTAATTAACTAATTTTTTTTTTGATATATTGGTAATGAACAGAATGAATGCATTAGCTTATTAACCCAAAAACGAAGCTTTGTTTTTTTAATTGCCAATTTTGTCATAAATGAACATTTTTTTTATTTTAATCTTTCATAGATTACAGTTATATATTTCTGAAAAAATTCAATAAAAATGTTTGTATTTTAGATATTTAACAAGAATGGAAAGCTAACTTCGGGCGAAGCCGAAGTTTATATACCCTTGCAGTTAAAACCGGATATATATCGCAAACATTGGATATAGTTGGCCGATCTTTATGGGAATATATAATCCAATTTATTACAATACAAAGTCTAAAAAAAGTCCCAAACTTCTATTTTCAAAAATACGAAAGTTGATATTTTTACCACAATACCATTTCCGATCTTTCAGTTATGTGGCAGCTATAAGACAGAGTCGGCCGATCCGAAATTTGATAGGTCGAATCAACTGACCAAAAATATAATCTGTACCAAGTTCCAGCTTTCTATCTTCAAAAACACGAAAGTTGGGACATTTCCGATCGTTCAGTTATATGGCAGTCGGCCGAAATTTGGCATGTCGTACTATTTTGCTAAAAATAGCTCTCACCTAAAATTTGAACTCTCTAACTTTAGAAACACCAAAGTTATACCATTTCCGATCAATCAGTTATATGGCAGCTATTGGATATAGTCGGGTCGTTCCGACTTATATACTGCGTGCAAAGGAAAGAAGGGTGTGTGCAAAGTTTCAAGACGATAGCTTTAAAACTGAGAACTAGTTCGCGTAGAAGCAGACAGACGGACGGACAGACGGACATGCTCATATCAACTCAGGAGGTGATCCTGATCAAGAATATATATACTTTATAGGGTCGGAGATGTCTCCTTCCCTGCGTTGCACACTTTTGACCAAAATTATAATACCCTCTGCAAGGGTATAAAAACGACAGAAACTTTATCACTACAAATGCCCTTCTATTGTGAACATTTTTCACTTTATCTACATAAGTGGTGAAAAGGAATATTTTTAAAAAATCGGCATGATATTTATTTCTTTAAAGAAGCTTTTACTTTTACGTTAAAGTTCGAAAGAAAAATCTAAAAATGCATGCTACATGTATCCTCCTTTAATATAACTAAAACTTAATAGTTAAAACTTTGATGACTTAATAGTTCTTACTTAACTAAATGTAACAAAAAATTAAAATTTTATAATTCTTTTCTTACATATAATAGTGGAACGTTTCTTTTTATAATTTTAATGATTGAATAATTGGATAATAAACATACATATTTCACACCAATTTAATGGTCCCTCGATCCCCAAGAATAATGACTGAATTATAGCCGAAACTAGATGTTAATTTCGGCAGTTAACGAGCCACATCGCATCCCACTTTTGCCCGCTCCAGCCCTGGCTGCTAGCCGTTTCAATTAGCAGAGCAATAAAAATAAACTGCGGAAAGACAGTTCCCAACCAAAACCAGTTTCCGTGGATCTCGCGCGATCTCCCCAAAACCCACCGAGGGACGGAGCTTAAAGCTCGTCACCAAAGGCGTCACCAAGGTGCCCGCAAGTGGTAGCCCGAGGAATGCAATTGGGAAGCTGCGCAGTCACCTCGCGGTAGTGGATCAGGTGCGCACTCCCCTGCTCCCCGGCTCACCGATCACGGTCGCTTTAGTGTTGGATGAGTCACTGAATGAGAAATCCCTAAAAGTGAAAATTCCCAACGATGACTGCAGCCGAAGATGCGCTTGCAGCGAGCAATTAAGCAGCCGCAAGCCGAATTATCACACATGAGTGCTGCCCACGGGGCTGCCTCTTTTGCGGCGTTCCGCTCGCTGCCCGCCGCAAAATTATGCACACGCACCCCAGAAAGCGCAGAAAGTGCACTCCGAAGCGAAAGGCGAGAACCTCGGGTGCGAAACCAGTTTTCATCTGCCGGGCTCCGGCTCTCTTCTGGGAAAGCCTTATCTGGGTTGGACTTTTGGTAAGTGTTTTCTCCAGTTTTCTTATGAGCAATCCGTGAAACCAGTTGCCCAACATGTTGTCCGTTCGCGGAGGTGGAAGCACTCTCCGCATGTTTGTTTTTATTTTTTGCGGTTATTGTTTATGAAATATGAGCTTCTCGGGAGTTTGCATTTCTGGTAACTGCAACGGGAGATGTTCTGGATTCCGTTTATCAACGCACCTAGAAGCTCAACGGCTTTGTTTATCAATTGCTTAGGGTTTCTCGGATTGTGGGCACAATAAGAAGCGTTTTTGTAATTAATCAGAAAAATCAAACATTCAACAAAGGCCTGCGGTTCGGGGGTGGGAGCCGTGTGGAAGCTCCGACGTAGCCACGGCAACAAAAATAACAAGACGTGGCTACCAGGAGGTAGTGGGGAACGTGGCTGGGAAGAGCACGCACCCGATTGAGACTGGCGGGCCGCATAGCGATGCGAAGAAAGAGAACGGCAGCTGAGAGAGAGCGGGCCCAGTCTGAAATCACGGCCAGGTTGGGCGACTCACCGCCAGCCTCGCTGGACTGGTGAAGCGCGGATTGGCAGTCGCGCCGAGTCGTCGTTGGTGGCACTACTGTTTCGCGGAAGCTGAATCCGGCATGTCGAAGTACACGAAGCTGGCCCGCGGGTTCTGCGACCTGCTGATCTGGGCGGCCCTCAGTGGGGCCAGCCTGCTACTGCACAAGTTGGTGCGCCCCTTCCGGCGGGGCTTCTTCTGCGGGGACGAATCCCTGGGCTACCCCATGCGTGATAGCACCATTGGTCATGAGCTGGTCATCGGCCTAGTTCTCGGAGTGCCCACAGCCGTGATAGCCGTGGTGGAGCTCTTCAAGCAGCTTCCAGGTAGCCGTCCGACCCAGCGCCTGGCCCAGTTGTACCGACAGGCGATCTGCTACCTATTTGGCCTGGCTATGTGCACCTTCGCCACGATGCTTTCAAAGCTCTGCATCGGGCGGCTGCGGCCCCACTTCTTCGCTGTGTGCCAGCCCATGTTGCCGGACGGAAGCGGATGCCAGGACGCCCAGAATGCTGGACGGTACATCGATGCCTTCACGTGCAGCAACGCCAACATGTCGGACTTCGCCTTCAAGCAGCTTAACCAATCCTTCCCCAGCGGTCACGCCAGCCTGATGATGTACGCCATGCTCTACCTGGCCATCTACCTGCAGGTGGCGCTCAGCACTCGGGTCTCTAAGCTGCTGAAGCACCTGTTGCAGTTCCTCTTTGTCATGTTTGGCTGGTACGTCTCCCTGACCCGGATCACTGACTACTATCACCACTGGAGCGACGTTATGGCAGGAGCGGCACTGGGCGTTGTGTTCGCATGGCTCACGGCGGTGTTTGTGACCGATCTGTTTGCCAACAGGCGCTGGGCCAAGAATGGTTACTCGGCCAACACCCTGCGAAAGCCCCAGGTGTCGCCCAAGAGCTCCTCCAAATCCCAGGCCGGAGGAGCCGCTGCTGCGGGGGCCCCAGGAGCGGCCCAGGGCGTGCCTCCCGCTCTGCCGGCCTACACGTTTGGAACGCTGCCGTACTTGGCGGCGCACCCCGCACAGGCGCAGGCGCAATACGCTCAAACGTATCACAACTACGGCTATGTGCCCTGAGCAAAATATAGATTAGCGAAATTAAGCTTGCAGAACCTCATGTAGACACTGGAACAAAGATTTGCACAAATTCCTGTTTTGTTTGTATTCTAGAGAAATAAATATATGTATTATCACACAAGCTATCGAGGGAGATTGATTAATGACGCGCATAAAACTTGCAAAAAAACTGACTGAGAAGAAAGCGATGCCAGCAGCTTCGGAGAGCATATTTCGGATATTTTCGAAAGTTGTAAAACTTAACGATTTCGGCATGGATTCATAGCATGTCAGTCATGAGTGGACATCGGACTTTCCGCAATATGAAACATCTTTGCTTCGAATCCATGAGTATTCATTATTCATTACTTTTACGTTCACTCATTTCTCAGATACATTGTTTTTCATTTAAAATATATTTCATCTTCAAGATGAATACTACCCACCGTTCAGCCAGTACCAATTATTAGGGGAAGCCAAGTCTTACCTGCAAATAGAAAGAAAAAATGTTTGGTTAGAAGGTTCAGTCGACACATTCCGTAGAACTTGCGAAAGAGTTATTATTACAGACGGGCTTTGATTTAAGCCCCAAATAGGTTGCAAACATTTACAGTTACAGGTGCCTTTCCGCAGAAAGAAAGAACAAGTTGGGCGGACCACTTCTTGGTGGAATCCAGCTTTAGAAAATAGGAATAAATTATCGAGACCTTTGCATATTTGAGTAACCGATGATGGCTGGGACCAGCGCCTAGATCAGATGGAAAAGCGAGACAAAGGTTCGTAAAACGAGTTTGTGTAGCAACGCTCAATACGACCTGGTCGATGGAAATGCAAATTAGTACTGACCGTGGGGAGAGGGAGCCTGACTCCACTAGCCCAGAGGTTAGTGTCAAAATGTGCGGCAATCCGAATACTCGTCTTCTCTCTCGGTTGGTCATCGACTTTCTCATCCTCCTGGGGATCTTCGGCGTGGCCCTGGTGCTGCTGCCCCAAAAGCTTCCCACTGCCCAGCGGGGCTTTCACTGCAGCGACCTGAGTCTGCAGTACCCTTATCACCAGCCTTGGCTGACCAAGGTCCATCTCACCATCGCAGTGGTGGTCCTCCCAGCGTCCTTCATTCTCGTAGTCGAGATGGTCAGAGCCGCCTTTGTGCCGGAAACAACGGAGCTGAAGCAGCGCTTTGTCTTCGTGGGAGCCCGAATTCCTAGCTTCATCAGCGAGTGCTACAAGACAGTGGGAGTGTATCTATTCGGCCTGGGTCTAGCCCTACTTGCGATCCGGGTGACCAAGCACTCCACAGGGCGTTTGCGACCCTACTTCTTCGACGTCTGCCAGCCCACGTGGGGCGAGGAGGGCGATGGCAAGTGCCTCGGGACTGCCGGGGGAAACTCTTCTTCCTACATTGAGAAATTCGACTGCACGGAGTTCGCGACTCCGGCTGATCTAGTCTCCATTGTGCGCCACTCCTTTCCCAGCGGATTCGTGACCACCACCATCTATGCCATGGTTTTTCTGATATTCTACGCCCAGGCTCGGATGTTCGCCCCGTGGATGCGGTTCCTCCGTGCCACTCTGCAGATGGCTTGTGCGTCTCTAGCTCTTGGCGTCTGCTGGGAGCGCATCTCAACATACCAGAACCATTTGTCAGATGTAGCGGCGGGGGCTGCTCTCGGCGTGTTTCTGGCGTTCTTCGGTGCCGTCGTGGTGGCTGGCCTGTTTACGGAGGTGCGGGTGAAGCGGCGCCAGTGGCCCAGGAACGAACAGATCTATGGCTATGCAGGGTACTATAATAGAGCTACATATGGATACTGAATGAACTTACCAAGCTTTTGCTAAAATAAATTATTTAAGCTAATACTTTTTCGTCATTTCACCTTGGACTATCCCAATACATGACAACAACAATATAATTGTTAAACTGGAATGAATATTGACTGATCCTACATATTACCGTTTAATCGAAAATATTTTCGGAGCTTAAGTTAATAATTAGGTTATTAGGTTTTCGAAAACTACTTTTTTTCCAAAAGAAGTTTGAGATGTAAAAAAAACCTTTTCTCTAACCCGCCATTACATTTTTGCGAAGTCAAAAGACTATTCGATATTAGTAACTAATTGGAAAATTCTTTATAAGCTATGGAAGAAAATAACAAACATAGGATGTATCTCATTGACGCACGATCCGTAGATAGAAAAGCTTTCAGATGCGGTTAGCCGATACCCTCACCCTACTCTGATTAGCGGAAGCACAAACCACCTGTTGCGATCCCCTTCGGTTGATTGGGTTCGGAATATCTGCTACTTATGTAGTTCTATAAACGCACGTTGATAAAAATATTTTAAATTTATAAACTAAAAATTATATGAAAAACATTTTAAAAAATTCCTAGCAAAATTCTAAAGATGCAAGAGAATCTCTGGAAAATTATGGCTAAAACATCTGTGCGAAATTCGCTCTGGTTTTTACGAGAAGCCTTTCCTTTAGAAACTCCTTTTCCGTGATGATTCCAAGCGGACCCGACCCGAATTGTTTGGTAAACAAGTGCCCTGCGTCTGTAGAGTGAGTGCCCAGCGTCGATTTCCTAAGGGCTCCCACTGACCACCATCACTTGGCTCCCACACTCTGGCTCTCTTTGCGGTCAGATCTTTCTCTCGATCGCTCATTGTCTCTCCGGCTAATGATTTATACGAGAACCACTCCATCGACTTATTTACATCGGTAGCCAGCCGTGAGTGATGTTTGTTGCCGTTCAGTCACGATCGGAAAGTGGCGCCTTAGACGTCTCGGAATCAAACGGGTTGTGTGAACGGTGGCAGGTGGTTTGAGCCAGAGCTACTTGGAGTAGGATGATTATATCGGCTAAAAGTGTTCTTTGGCTTAGAAACTGTCGCAAAAGCGTACTTTTATTGACTTTTAAGGAGGAGGTCGTGCCGATTGTGTGGAATGTTGGAACGTGTTGATATACGGTCGGAATACGATCGTTGGGGTTCAACTAACAGTAAGTTATCGACTAGCTGCCATGTAGTGTGTGGAAATCCGTGCAGTGATATTCGCTTTATTTTAAAATTTCATCAAATAAGCATCCAAAAGATCAAGCGCCACTTGCTGGAGCGCAAAGTTCACACATTCAGTGATCGCAGAGGCAGACCCCGAGGGTCAGCGGAGGAATCGGACTCACTCACAGAGACTGGCCGCCTTAATTCAATCAAATGTCGCTTATTCATTCAATTAAAGGTCGTGCCTTTTGACGTCCACTATGAATACGTCTGTGAGTACGAACATGAGTGCGAGCGAATAAGAAGGCCAAGCCTGAAGGCGGGTGCTGAGTCTGCTTTGAATGCTTTCCATTTTCCGTGTCCCATATTTTGAGTTTTTTATTTAATTGACAGTTAAACTTTGTGCCCAAGCTCCCCAGAAGCCGCCCGGCCGGGGAAGTGTCCCAGATCAGAGCCGGCAGTAGCAAGTTCACAATGGGGACCATTCTTGGGCAGAAGATTGGCGGATGCTTCAGTGTGGCGCTCACCCAAGCAAGCTGCCTCAACGCGGTCTCTGATAATGCAAATCTCACAGAGGCGCTCCCATTCGACGGCTCGCTGCCCTAGAACAATAGGCGATTACTCAGTGAGCAAGCCGTGAATCACCGAGGCAGCATATATCTTAACCCGCCGGATTATCGATGTTGACGTCTTATCACTGCGCTGAAAACAGCTCTTTAATTCCATAAAATCTTTCCTAGCAATTGCTGCAGAAATCTAAAATAGCTGAATCGCTCTGATTTGGCACTAAAGTAGGCCCTCTAGCTTTTGCGACTATCTGCCGATCTAGTTTATCTTATCAAAGTGATCTTGAGGTTGTTTCAACAGCTGCACTGCGAGAATCTCCCCACGTCGTATCATATGACCGATCATTTCCTAATTACAATTTACGACTTTTTAATATCTTTCAATCTAACAATGGGTCTGTTTTTTCTTTCAGTGCCAGTCTCTTGTCTAATCTAAGCAATAAGTGCGGAATACGAACCGCGCCAGTAGTAAGCTCTCTGGATAATAACAAGCGTCTCAGAATAGACAATAAAACTTGCTGTGACGCGGGAAAGCAGCGGGCTTGAGAAGAAGGGGTTGTTTGAGCGGCGAGCGGAGAGCACAGAGAAGGATCCAAACACCAAAAGAGTCTGCCCCATCAAATGAGCGTTGAATTAAAAGAACGTTACCCGAACTACGCCACTTCAGTCAGTCACTGACAACGAACCCGAAACAATCGACCGCGACGGGTAAACGACAAAAAAAACAAACGAAAAGCTAATTACCAGCAGGCATAAAGGCCATTTGGAATATTAACTAATTAAAGCCGGAGTGACCCATCCACAAAATGCGCGTCGGGAACGAAGATCAATCTGTAGCCGTCCCCATGCCCGACGCGGGTGCGACCCCCTCAGTAGCTTCGGCAGACCGTCAGGGGGCCGCGGACCGTCGCCTGACACAGCGGCTGCTCCTGGAGCTGCTGGTCGTAGTGGTTCTCGTCATCCCCATCTGCGTGTACGAGTTCGCAGTGGACCCGGTGCGACGCGGCTTTTTCTGCGCCGACGAGACCATCGCCTACCCCTTCAGGGATAACACCATCACCCCGGTGATGCTCGGCCTGATCGTTGGCCTGCTGCCGTTACTAGTCTTCGTCTTGGTGGAGTACGTCTCCCATCTGCGAGCGGGCCAGATTGGGGAAACGCAAGTTGTGCTGCAGTGGCGGGTCTCCACCTGGTACGTGCAGCTAGCCCGCCAAGCCACCTACTTCATCTTCGGGCTACTGCTGACCTTCGACGCCACCGAGGTGGGAAAGTACACCATTGGACGCCTGCGTCCGCACTTTCTGGCTGTATGCCAGCCGCAGCTCACGGACGGCAGCCTGTGCTCGGATCCGGTCAACCTGCACCGCTACGTGGAGAACTATGAGTGCGCGGGCGAGGGCTTCTCAGTCGAGGACGTGCGCCAGTCGCGCCTCAGCTTTCCAAGTGGACACTCCAGCTTAATATTCTACGCCATGCTGTACGTAGCCCTCTACTTGCAACTAAAGATCACCTGGCGAGGTTCGAAATTGGGGCGTCACTTCGTGCAGTTCTTGCTTATCATGCTGGCTTGGTACACAGCTCTTAGCCGGGTGATGGATAACTGGCACCACTGGTCTGACGTCCTCTGCGGCTCGCTTCTAGGCATAGTCGGCGCCCTGGTCACCGTCCGTTTCATTGCAAGGATGTTCGATATGCCCTTTAGGCGAATGGAGGGCCTCCTCGGCGGGGGGCTGCGGAGGGAGAACACGGCGGCCACCCTGCAGGAGGAAGTCTGCCCCAGCACCCCACCACCCTACTCAGCGAACAGCAACTACAGCGAAGATGATTATCGCACGAAAGTGTAGGAGCCCAATGTAAAACCAAAACATTCCAAAGCTAGCAATAAAGATTTTATCAAGGAGGCGAGCAGTCCGACTTGTCCCTACTATCTACATCTCGTTTTAGAGCATTAGACTTAGAAATCACCCACTTCATTTGTATAGTTCCCATCAATCTGTTTTGGAAATCCTGTATTGGAAAGCTAAGTGTGTAAGCTTTCTTGTTTTAAAATATGCAACGTCTCCTTCTTAAGTTTTAGTTTTAGTATCTCCGTTTAATAAAGAACATTCAAGTATTGCATACTTTATACTACATATGTATGTGTTTGCATTTATTTATGTTTTGTGATTCGTAACTAAAATTTCATCTTTTGGTTGTTTAGTCATACTATTCATGGCTAAGACGCCTTACCCACATTCCCCAGCCGAAGTTGTTTATACACAACATTTTCATAACGTTTACCTGGCTACCACGGCTGGGGATATCGGTCAAAAATTTAATAACTAATGAATCATCAAGGGGCCAATTCGATAGAACACACAGAAAAAAATTAACTTGATTATCATACATATATTTTTTTTCATACATTTTTGTTTTTGTTTTTTTTTTTTTGTATGGATTCATTATTTATTTTATTTATTAATTTTTTTATTTATTTTTAAAACTAGAGCAATGGAATTAATTTGAGTCACAAAATGTTACATCAATTTTAAAATACTTATTTGCTGACTAATGATGAACAAAGGTATTCCGCGTTAGCTTTATTTCGGTTGTCGGTAGAGGATGACGAACGCATTGAATGAACGCGTAGAATTTGTATACTAGTGCCTAGGAAAGCTTTCATAGAGCTTTCTTCGGGGATCTTTCAGCTTCGGGAACGTCATGTCGGGGTCCGTAGACGGTAAACAGCACCTCGCGTGTTGTGATGTGATCGAGTCAGGGCCGAAGGGGCATATTAAGCTGCGATTGCGATGCCAGCACGTGCGTGACAACCGTCCGGGGATTGGGAAGAGTACTCGGCTTTCGACACGGGAATACCTCCGGAGTCCGGTCCAATAACATTCTCTACGTCAGCCCGAGCCCCCTTTGGCGGGTGCCTATTAATATAATCAAAACAACAATGCAAACGATTTATTAATAATCCAAGTCGGGCGAGTCTGAGCTCAGATCGCCGCCTTCGACCGGAGCTGTAGATCAGTGAGCCGCAAGGCATCGAATAGAACGCACGGAGTCGGAAAGCAAGGTCTGGAAATGAGTTTTAGCCTGCGTGTCTCGACGCCCGTCCGCCCCCTGGTGGACCTAGCCTTGATGGGACTGCTCCTGGTTATCGTAGAGAACTTTGCAAGGATCTGGGGACCGCCAACTAGCAGAGGCTTTTTTTGCGATGACCAGACCCTTATGTACCCGTACAATGAAAACACCATCAGCTCCTCGCTACTGCACCTGCTAGGACTGTACCTGCCCCTGCTTAGCTTATTCCTGGTTGAAAGCCTTCTTTGCCGAAGCAAAGGAGCCAGCAGTTGGAGTCACTATTGGCCTGTGTACAACGTGGTCCGATGGTTCCTATACGGCTACGTGTTCAATGACCTTCTCAAGAGCATCGGAAAGCAAACGATCGGCCGACTACGTCCGCACTTCTTTGCCGCGTGCAGGCCAGTATTTCCAGATGGCACCACCTGTGCGGATGTGGGCCGACAAGGTGTAAGCGAGTACCATGAGGACTACGTCTGCCAGCCCCAGATTTCGGGTGCCAGCCAGGAGGTGCTTAAGGACATGCTGGTGTCCTTCCCCAGCGGGCACTCTGCAATGGCGTTCTACGGCCTGGTCTTTGTGGCGCTGCACATCCGTAGGCGCCGCTGGCCGTTGGAAGGCTCCCTGCTAGGCCCCGTGATACAGCTAGTCTGTGTCGCCGTGGCCTGGTTCGTCGCACTAAGCCGGGTCATGGACTACAAGCACCACTGGTCGGATGTTGCGGCCGGATCTCTGCTGGGGGTTGTAGCTGCCTTCTTGGCTGTTCGCGCGGCATCCATAGAGGAAAGTCAAAGGATGTCCCCGGATGCACCTGCAACACTGGCGGGTCCGGCGGAAACGAAGAACTCGGAGGAGTCCCGGGCTTACCCGGTGCACCCTGACTTAGGTCTGGTCACTTGCCAGAGCTCTAATTAGATAGGTGTGGCGCCAGAGCCTCGCCTCATGTAGCTTTAGGTTGACAATAAAGTTAGACATCGCAATCTCGCAAATGGTTTTATTGAGCTAATTATACTTCTCATCAATGGAGCGCATTTCACCCGGGGCAGTTGCGCCTGGAAACAGCTAAAATTAATCGCATAGACAGTGCTTGCTAAGCATTTTTTATTTGGTGTGACTCAAGGAGAGTCATTTACATGTGAGAATGTGATTTCAGAGATTCATCTTCGATACTAGTCCATTTGGTCAATCTCTTTCAAATTTATTTATAATGAAGAATTACCGCCCACTTTGAAAAAAAATGCAAGTGCATGTGAATAGTATAGATTATAAAAGAAAAAATTCACTTATCAAAAGGCCACTTAAGGTTCATTGAGCTCCTATTCTTCATATTAATATAGTTACATATAATATAGCGACAAATAATGTTTAATGTATGCAATAAAAAGAAAGAAAATCAGATTACTAAACAATGTTTTGAAATTGCTTTTTAATAAAACTATTTCCCTTTAAAAATAAAACATGAATAAATTTAAATATGTACATGCATATATTTCCAAAGAACTTTAATGATCACATTTACTCTTACAGTTTTTTATAGTAAACTGATAGTTTGCATTTTTATACCCTTGCAGAGGGTATTATAATTTTGGTCAAAAGTGTGCAACGCAGTGAAGGAGACATCTCCGACCCTATAAAGTATATATATTCTTGATCAGGATCACCTCCTGAGTTGATATGAGCATGTCCGTCTGTCAGTTTCTACACAAACTAGTCTCTCAGTTTTAAAGCTATCGCCTTGAAACCTTGCACACACCCTTCTTTCCTTTGCACGCAGTATATAAGTCGGATCGGCCGACTATATCCTATAGCTGCCATATAACTGAAGGATCGGAAGTGTCCCAATTTTCGAGTATTTGAAGATAGAAACTGGAACTTCGTAAAAATTCTATTTTTGGTCAGATAATCCGACCTACCGAATTTCATAACAATCGGCCGACTATATCTTATAGCTGCCTTATAGCTGAACGATCGGAAATAGTATTTGGTAGAAAACCAACTTTGGTATTTTTGAAGATGAAAGTTTGGGACTTGTTTTAAATTTTGTATTATAATAAATTGGGTTATATTATCATATTCTCATAAGGATTAGCCAACTATATCCGATGCTTGCGATATAAATCCGGTTTTAACTGCAAGGGTATATCAACTTCGGCTCCGCCCGAAGTAAGCTTTCCTTTCTTGTTTTTAAATAAGTCTTTGTCGTAAAAAATGAATAAAAAAGTAACTTTCTCACTAAATTCAGAAGATTCAGACTAGCTTCGTCACTAAATGAATACGTATGTCATAAGTAGCTCAAAAGATTAAAAAAAATACTTAATATTGTGTATTGTATAAAATGTGTTTATGCTTCGGAAATATTTTGTTCAATAATCGAGATTTTTTTTGTGATTGTAGATGCGAGCTTGGTATTATAAAAAAAGGTCAGAGAATATTTGCCTTCCCAAGTAGAATTGTTTACAGATCCGTCTATAAAAAATTCCCGTGTAAGGTACTGAGTTCCTGGAATTTCTATCTAGCCTTTCGTCAAAGTTTTTTGATTCTAAATATTAGATGACATTGCGATTTCGCAAAGAGGTAATAATTAAGTGCGGTCTGTTTGAGGGGTCCGGCCTGTTTCCAAGGCCACAGCCGCGCATAGACGGCTCTTTAATAGCTCAACATTTTTTGGCAACTTAACGTGTCAACAAAGATGAGATCTACACCATTGGCAAGTAAACAAAAAATAGAGAAATAAATAAATGTAAGCATCGAAAATATGGAGAAAATAACCAATGCTATCCAAAGATGATAATGCGTAACACCTGAACCCACTCCTACCCGGGGAAGCACAATCCTCGGTCATATTCCGAAAACCCTCAGGTGAGGCCAGGGTCGCATTGGCAGCTGCTTAATTGGCTCATTTATTTTGATGGCCAAGAAAACGCTTGGAAATTGTTGTTATTTTATCCATGCTGCTCCTCCTAATCTTGGGTCCTTATTCCTTCTCTCCTCGCTGATTTTATTATGATTAATTATGACTCGCACACACTGGGAAACTGACCCAAAGCTCCACTTTCTTACCCAACTTTCCCAACCGAGTTTGACTATTACTGGCTCCGTTCCAGCTGGCTTTGTGTTTATTTGGCTCTAGATTCGAATGATAAATTTCTACGTAATTTATTTTAATCTGCAGCGACAGTTCCCGCCGACCGCCGCCCATTGCCCCCTCCAGGCTCATTCTCGCGAATAGGACTCCACGCATTAATTAAATGGAAAATATTTGCATGTCTGGCCACACCGACATGCCGGGCAGGAAGGCAACGAGATTGGGCTTGCAAAGTTTAGTTGCAGCCGGTAAACTGACCCACATTCGGAACAAGCGAAAGTTTTCGCCGATTTCCCTCTTTAGCTTTGTATGGAGAAGTCTAAGCAACTTCGCATGGAGAAGCCTGAGCAACTTCGCCCGGAGTTCTTAGTAGGTTCATTAATGGAGGCATACGCAGAAAGTTCTCTGCATCGAAAGCTAATTGAAAGTGGGCAATCTGGAAGATGTTACCCCAGATACGTTTGGGCTTAACCCACTCGAGCCTCCGGGCATCATCAATCTGAGCTCCTGCCCAGCCCCCACCCCAATCAGTTTCCATTCCCGCTCTAGAAATTTAAGAGCAGCGTTGCCGACGTATCTCTAATCACCGTCAGGTGTGATAATGCGGCCAGTCCGGGTTCTTGTGGCAGGGTGGCCGTATGTCCGGCAGTGCCCTGTCCGGCAGTTTGTCACTCTGCATTATCTCTGCCGCCGCATGTCCATCGTTCCGTCAGGAGTCCGTCGTTTCCAGTCCAAGGACTTCGTTCTCGCACCGTCTGCTGCATTTTTGCATGGTTGTTTGCTCAACAAAATATCCCAAAGCAGTTCGGGGATTTCACCTATCCTGGTGTAGCCGTTGTCGTTGCTGTTGCCGTTGCCATTGCTGTGCTGTTGCTGCAACATGCGCTTCATATTTCTGCGGTTGCTATCCTGGTCCAGCTCCCTGCTCACTCCCGCCCACCTTTTCCACTTGCCAGTGGCCAAGAGCACCAGACCACCCATCTCCAATCTGCACCCAATCTCACTCAGCTCCAGCTTCAATCCTTTGCTTCATGTGTGTAAAGACAATTTGATAATCGCAAAAAGCAGCATAGTTTGAGTTAATGAAGCTTGTGTTCTATGTGTGCCACCTTCGGGTGGCATCCCTCTGCAGCCCTGGCCAGATGACTGGCTTATCCTTTGGCATAGTCGTTGTAGTTACAACGTTTGTTTGCAGGACAACAAGCGGAGCGTTTTGCTTGCCAATTAGTAATTTGCTTGTTGCCGGCCTGGGAATGGTTTTTCCGACCAGACCGGACCCGACCAGACTGTCCCTGACAACCTTAGGGAGTTTTAAATTGCTCGAGTTGAGGGCTAAGGACCAATCTGGAAGGAAACCCACTAAAGCTCGTTTAATTGCTGGTCAATTAGCGAAGCTTTAATATCAAAATATCAAAACAGTTAAATTTAAATTATCTACAGTATTTAGGACAAGCGGCTAAATTTCCTGTTTTATCCTTAAATATGTAAAAAAATAATAAATAAATAATAAAGTATTTTCAGAAAATCGAAGAGCATTTAGTATCATGAATTTCAAAAACACACTAATCGGATTAATATTAATTTTAAAATGGATTTTGAAGTCCAAAAATAGTCAAAAACCTAACCCAACAAACTTCAGAACCTCAAAGTCAAATTTTGTGGACTCCAAAATATAATCCCCAACCGATTCAAAATCCAATCTTAAACGGTTAATTTTATATTAAAAAAAAACAATTGATTTTGGAAGGAAATGTGTTATTTTTTGTTTGAATAATGTTGAGTAATTTTTAATAATCATTTTTTAATAATGGTATATAATAATAATAATAATAAGTCATATAAGTTTTTAAAACGTCCTAAGATGAGCCGGGAAACATTACTTTAAAAAAAAATATTTTTGTAATTGGAGGGCTTTTGTTTTTTGTAATTTGTAATTCTCTAATTTTAGAATCACCCACTTTCGGTCAGTTTTCTGACGTTCTCTGATTTTTCAATAAACTTATTTTTCGTTCGTTAAGTTAAACTGTCGATCAAAATGATGGTTGTGAACAAATGCAATTTACCACTTATTTTTTGCATCAGATCACATGTACCATTGTCCCATTGGAGATCATTAATCAGCTCGGGGCACCTTCAATGTTGCAACTCGTGAGGCAATGTCGCTCTGGCCAGAGCAACAAATCGTTTTCACCCCGGGTTCCATTCCGTTGCGATGTCCTGGTGCAGTAATCACATGCAGCCTTGATACGTGACAAAAGGGGCGACAAAGGATGATGGCGCTGGACGATGGCACAGCGGGGAATTGGTGTCCGCCATTATTATTAATAGGTGTAACGCGGGACGAGGAAGCGAGGCACGGCGATGCTAACTTCCGTTGCGTGGTCTTCGTGCTATGTTTTTTTCATGGTTCTCCGCCATTCTGTTCCTTCTTTTTCGATGGCTTTGACAATTTTGATTGCTCTCCTGCCTGGAAATCGGAAAATTTCCGGGCTTCGCTGCGTCCAGGACCCCCGAAACACGACGCAGGACCCAGACAGCAGTCCGAACAGGTGTGGTCGTCAACTGGCAATCAACTTTCATTTAGCAGCTTCATTTGTCTCGCTTGTTTATTGCCCGGTTACGTGTTGGCCTTGCTTAATGTCCGTTATTGTCTCCGTCTGCCATCGCGGAACCAGGAGCCAGAGCACAGGAGTCGAGAAGTCGAGGAGCCGGAATAAGTCGGAGCGCAGTGGCCGGCTCCGGATCCAAGTTTGGGATTTCGTTTTCGGATGTATTGATTTAAAATCGAAGCTAGCTGGCAACGGGAAATGAATATAAAAGTTTTCGCTCATTTTCCCACCCAAGCAGACCCTTCTTCCAGCTCATCACTAAAACATGGCTCCAATTATGCCACAA